TATAATGTGTATTTTGTTTGTTATAGTAGATAAGTATGTATTATGTACAAGTTATGTTTGTACTTGTTATACTTTATTAATTATTGTTTGTAATTATGAATAAATATTTTGTTTTTGCATTGAAAACATATGGTAATTTGTTTGTTTCTATATAATATTCATTTAATAACATTATAATTATTATTTATGTAGCACTTTTAATAAGTGTGCTGAGTTCTATTAAGTATGCTTGTGTCTGTTATTACCTATTTTATATTATACTGTCTGTTTAATCATATTATATTATGATTGTTTTTGTTTGTAATCAGTATTATAAGTGTGTCCATGATTGTTTTATTTGTTTTATTTATTGTACTAGTCATATTAGTATTATGCTTCACTCTTACAAGCTATGTTGTCACAATGTAAAGTTAATAATTGTTTGTTAAGGTATATATGCTGTACAGTTGATGTTGCCATTGCAACTTCGAAATTTATTATATAATCAGCTGCTGTGATAACATGTTCTGTATAATTAAGTTGTATTGATGTATTGTTTTGAGTATATTAGAGATATAATTCTTTCATTCATTGTTAGTATACATTTACACAATTGTATTAATGTGTAAAGTAGTATCATTTGTTTAAGAATTATAATTTTGCACTTGTCTTGTACTGTAGATAGTATTTATGTGTTATGACATTATTTCTTTGTGCATAGTTAGTTTATACACTCTGTAGCATTGTTTTTTGGATTGTAGTTATTTATTATACTTGTGTATATCTGTACTTGTCTGTATGTCTTAGATATGTGTATTATATTTGGTATCTGATGAGTAATCACAATATCTGACATGTAACTACTGAATCTGACATGTTTCATATAATTGCTCAACCATAATATGTGTTAGTTATTATATTGTTCTGTATTTGTTCTGTTAGTTCTATCAGTATTATTATCATTATTATTGTTATTATTATAATTATTAGAGTGTCCACAATTATATTATTGTTTATAATACATGTTAAATGATTTAGTTATTTGTTTATATATGCTGTTTAGCATATATGTGCTTGTTTTGAGCATTAATTGTTCAGCTGTGATATTACTATATATGTTATTATTTGATTTATGCTATAACATATGTGTGCTCATTGACAGTGTCAATCATTTGTATTATTGTAATGTTAATAGCAGAAGAGTAGTGTTTGCTTTATTAATCTTTTTAATGTTTGTCTGTAGTATGATCAGTTAATTTATTATAACATGATCTCCATGATATTATAGAGTATTTCAGCATTTAAATATTGTAGTAAGTGATACTCATTGTAATTTCAACATTGCCTGCATAGATTATGTTATTACTGGGCCAATGATTATAATTACTAAGATAATGATCATATAATGTCTGGGTTGTATGTAGTACAATAGATTGTGTGTCTGCAGTGTATTGTTTTGTGTTTAGGATACTCAGACAGGTAAGTCAAGTTCTGCATCATAGTATGTTGCATGCATGCATGTGATGCATAGAACTGTATAGAGTATAGACATAGTAGAGTGTAGATAAAGTGTAGGCAGGGAGTGCAAGGCTCATAACCTGTGAAGAAAGGAGGTTATGTGAGAGGCTTAGAGGGATCACACAAAGAGGGGGGATAGTGGACTTGGCTTGCTCTCTCACAGCTTGCTTCATTGTCCATTGATTAGTTAGTCTATATATACTATGTAGGTATGTCTCAGATGTAGAATGTATAATGGAAGGTATTCCATCATCATTTGTCATTGCTTGTAATGTAGTTTATATCATCTGAGACATACTCTTGTGTAGTCTTGTCTTAACATGAAGTATGTCAGAGAACAATATGTGAGGCTTCTGGGTACAAAAATCACAACAGTAAGCAGTCTAATTTCCCAAAATGCTCAGAATTTTGCATAATTTTCTCACAAATCTTGATACAATATGTAATAGACTATTTTTGTGCATAATTCCCTTATCCCAAGCTGGGATTAGGCAGAAAGCTATACAATATTCAATTTATACATTATAATGTGATGTAATAAGGTATTTTCAACTGTATGTGGCAATCAGCTCTCTATGTGTGTAGACACACACACTTGATAAGTATGTTGTGGGTGCTTGTAGGTGTAACTCATATTTTAATTAGCCTACCTGTACTACATGTGTATTTGAATATATAAACAGTCCTTAAGCACAGGGTTAAGGGGATTCTTTTCTTCTTGCTTGTACTTGACTACTAATGAACACAGTCAGTATTTGAGTGCCCTGGAACAAAGAGAATCTTCAGTGTAAGGCACATTGAGCTACCTTACACAACTATCGCTCCAATTAAGCACCTTAATATTACAGACTGCCTATCTTACAATCAAAATGCCTGTATCATCTCTGGTGGGAGCTATGGCAACATTTGCATTGGTACATACAATCACCCAGATTGTGGAAGATTAAAGGTTGCTATGAAATGTCTTCGGGTCTTTCTTGCTCAGAATCCTGAAAACATGAAGATTGGCTCGTAGTTCATGTCACCTTAACACGATTTATTTCTAATATCGCATCGTATCTGTTCTCTGTAAGGCAATCAGAAAGGCAGTTTGCGCCTGGTCAAGACTACATCATCCCAATATTCTTCCTCTACTTGGCTATATCTTGAATCAGAATGATCTTCCAGTCCTTATATCTGAGTATATGGAAAACGGAACCGCGCTCAAATACATTTCGCAGCATCCAGAAACCGATGTCACTGAGCTTGTACGTAGTTTATAAGCCTTGCAGAAGATGTATCTGGTTGCATATACTTCTGACTAGATCCTCGGCATTGCCAAAGGCATCGGATATCTTCACGACAAAATGGAGTACAGCAGCAGGTCTCCACGGACATTAATATATATTCCTCTTTAACAATGCTACGAGCACTCATTCGTATCCTTCGATATATCTAACCGAGTAAAGTCCTCCCTCGCTTCTTCTACGCCTCCCCTATCATCTCCATTTTTATCTTCGTTCACATCATCATCTTTATTCTCGACGTCGGCTTCCTCAGACGAAGATGAGGAAGAAGCGAGTTGGAGGTCCATAACGCTCACGAGCCATCTAGCGCCTTCGTCCCATCCGTTTCTCTCTGCTTCGCCAAGTGGAGTGTGACCTGCGCTGTTGCGAGCGAGGATCAACGCGGGTCCGAGTTTGATATCGCTTTCTTTCCCTTGTGTGGCTACGTCATTTTGCCGCCCTGGATCAGCAGTGCTCGGGTCGCTTTTCATGCCGGACAAGGGAGAAGAGGAGGAGCGGAAGTTGACGAGGAGCTTGGCGCATGCGAGTTGGGAGTTGACGCATGCCCAGTGGAGTGGTGTGTTGCCTGCGTCGTTGCCTGATGTGAGGAGTGATGTAGGGAGGTTGGGAAGTGAGAGGATGTGTGCTAGGATGTCTATAACGCAAATTAAAACAATGTCAGCTATTAACCGAGGGAAAAGGCAGAACAAACATTGACATAGCACCGCAAAAAATCGAAATAATTATAACCCAGGAAGCTAGACTACCTCAAGTGAACGAACAACGCACCATCGTGTCCGTTCGCCGCACACATATGTAAGACGTTATTACCCCTTTCATCATGAGCATTCGCAAGTACGTTAACGCCGTATGTGTCTATGAACGTTGTGACAGATTCAAGCTCTCCATAGCGACAGTCGAGAAGGAGTTCTTCGAGTTCATCTGAGGAAGGTGATGAAGCCGTCGTGGATTGTCCTGAGGTTGCAGAGCCTGTTAAAGACAGAGATGGTTGTGGTACGGCGTTATGTGATGCTAACTCTTGTGAACTCGGAGAAGAAATAGTGCTGTCACAGTCGGTCATGACATTGATTGACAAGCGAACGGATGAAGTTTTTTGCGGAGAGTCGTCGGTCTTTCTTTTTTAATCAAGTTTGATCTGATCCAGACCATGTGCAGCTATTTCTGGCACACGCGCACTCAAATTTCCCCACGCGCACTATGTCCGGGTATGTATTTCACTGATGAGGTGCGATGGATCGGTGTACTGAGCCAAGTGCAACGGCTTACTCCAGTTGGCTCGCTCAAGCCTCTCCATGTGCTCCCTCCCTCCCCGCCCTGCAATCCTCCGACGACCACCCCTCTTGCCCTCCTTGACCTTCCTCGCTCACCCACTAGCTTCTTGTCAATACTTACCTGCTCTATCACAATAACCATCAACTACTACTTACGCCCACTCGCACACCCTCTCGTTTAAATTTCTGAAACAAAGAACCTCCTACTCCTAAACTTCGCACTACGTAAACAACACTGCTGCAATGACGCACACCTCTCCCGCGACGTTCGTCGTCTGGTCCGTCCTTTCTACCGCGGTACGTGCATTTACACACACAACATGCGCTTTTCCTTTATACTCTTATCTTGGCTGCCATTGAATTGAATTGAATTGAAACTTACCCGATCCCTATCTTCATCACCGCCTCCACGCTCGCGTCTACTGGCGCCTACTTGGTGATCCGCTCTGAACTGGGACGTTCGGTCGGTCGGATGGTCTTCGTTATGATTTGCCTGTGGTGGGTTGCTATGCTATGCACACAGCTCGGAGCGTTCCTCCTAGGCCATCTCTGGCGCTTTGATCGATTCAAGTGTCTTCGGTGCGTTCAATACACCTGTTGCTTTACCTTCATCTACTAACTTCTCGGTGTGCGCCCTCTGTGTAGATGGTCGAATTCACCCTATTCCGGCGCATTCAAGCGCATCATGACGTACACATACCTAATAACGATACCGCTCATAATGATATATTCGTTTGGGTTTGCGTATATAAAGTATAAGGAAGGGTATATAGACGTTGGTGGAGGGAGTGCGTGTTTTTATCCTTTCGTTCTCAGACTTTTAGCTGACTGGTGATTTGCGATGGCAGTCTTCCCGAAACCGTATACGTTTTGGAGACCTGCGTATAGGAAGGCGATATTCCCGCTTATGATGGTCTTTTCGTTTTCGTGGTCGTTTGAGATGTACGTTCATTTGGCAGTCTTTTGTGTTCTGCTCTGATTACTTCCATTCGACGTCCGTCTTCACGATGATCAGGGTAACACATCTCGAAGGTGCGTTTTCCAGTGCTTTCACATTCCTCGTATACTCTATGCCTAAAGCTGACCAAATGGGGATTCCTCTTTACCGCATAGAACTCTGTTTTTGGTACTTCCTCATCACAGCTGGACCTGCTCAACCCGACTGGTTCCACAGTCCGTATTTCAGGTTATGGATCGGAGGGAGTATCAGTGCGATCATCTATGTTCCTGTTGTGACCATTGTGTACCGGAATAATCCATTAGGCGTAAGTGGAATTCTGTGTTTCCTTTTAATTTGCTGGAGAAAAAGGTTGACGGGACGTAGTGCGAAGCTCGGATGTTCACGGCTGGAAGCGTTGGTGACCTTGCGCTCACCCTTGGGTTCATCCCGATCTTGTTGCGATTCCCGGATTTCATTCAGAAAGTAGTGCGTGTCTCCTTCATTTGTATGGTCTTACTGTTACTGTTGCTTGACGACTGTTTCGCTCGCCTAGAAAGCGGAAGGAGTCGACTCATCAATCATTGTACGGCTGCGAAAGTTCTATGAGCTTAACGTACGTGCTTGTGCTTGCTATGTTTCTTCGTCCAACTGAACGCTTTGCGGTTGCTTAGGTTATTCGTATCATCTTTCGCTTCTTGATGCAGATCCCATTATTCGCGCTCGGAGTTGATGGCTTGAAGCCTCATGATCACGAGCTGAACGAATCCTTGTATGTGGAGTCTATCCTTCAAGTATCGTCATGGCTTCTAACAAAACGGTTTAGATTCTGGACGGACTTGCTGAGTACAGTCGCTGCACTGGGATGTGCGTTCTCTTCCGTCTGTACCCTTCTCGTGCGTACGTCTACATCTCAATTGCTCGCTGTAATACTAAGTCCCGAACAGATATTCTTTCCACGTTCCTACGAAGCCGAATACCAAGCCAAAGAAGCTTCATTACAACGATCAGCATACACTCTCTCCTCTCGTCAACTACACGAACCCAACCCCGCATATTCATTCAACGAATACAACGAATCCGGAGAAGGCGTAGACCCAGCGCTCAGCCTCAACAAATCAGCAACGTTTAACACGAATGACGGTGACGCCTCAGATATGGACCCGTTCGAGGACGAAGAGGACATGAAATACGAGCGTGTTGAACGGAGGGTTGGTGCTGGGGTTGTGAAAGAGCGATGGGGGACGAGGTTAAGAGATCGGGAGAGGAAGTTGATGAATAGTACGAAGAGGATGGGAGTTGGGTTGCATGATGCGTTGTCGAGACGTCTAACGCGGTTACAACTCGCTGTTCCGCGAAGAAGGCATACGGATTCGGATAGATCTGTGTCACTTTCGTTTGGTTTACCATCACTTTCGCACCTCCAGCGGGAAGTGACGCGGCGGGCTGTACCTAGTGCACGTTCTGCAAGGAAGAGGAGTGATATCACGACAGTACATGACGAGGAACAGGGTCAGCTGGAAGAGGGCGCGACGGGGTTGAAGAGGAAACCGACCTATCTCTTAACTGACTCACCGGTGCTACGAGCAAGGATTCGTGAAAGGGAGAGACAAAACCTAGCTCAAGGAAACGGACAAACAGCGAGCGCGTCTGTAGAAACGCTAAGTGCAGCATACGCCGCAGGTGTCGGGAGTGGCTACCAGGAACTAGCTGGGTCGGAATATGGGCTTGGTTATGGACACGGCCTTGGCTTGAACGCGAAGAATCCGTTTGTTTCGGGGGATGACCAGGGGCATGGACAGGGAACGATTGACTTGGTCGTTGGTTCGCCAAGGGAAGATGACAATGCTGATGTGGAGGAACTTGAACTCGATTCTTCTGCACCTCCACCGCCTGGCCATGCAGCAACTCCAGTAACAGCTACACCGCTTCTTAAAAGTCCAACGATCACGTCGAAACCTCCTCCGTCCAGTATGCCAACACATACTCACGTACACGGACCCCGACCTTTAAAGAAGTCAAGTTCGTTAAGCACGAACGCAACAGCCCGACGAGCGTTACCAACTCCACCTACGACCGCTAGTACAGGAATGATAATCGGGACAGGAGACCCACTGGGAGCCGCCCCCGGGTATGCATCCCCCGCTGACTTGATTACCTTCCCGCAAACAACGAGTCCCATTCGTCTCGACGATCCTAATACGAACCTGAGTCCTGGAATAAAAGGCACGGACAAGACGAAAGACGTTTTACCCGAACCAGTTATGACGATCGGACATCCCTACGCAACTGCAGCAGCTTATTCCAGCTCATCTGTTCCGTCTAATCTAGCGGTCATAAATGGTGAGCGAGAACCGGGACGAGAGCAGGATGCCACCATCGTTCATGTTCAGGGTGATCAACACGTAAACAAGATGAATACGAATACGAATACGATGCCGGTACTACCCCGTTCGGCAACAGTCATGCGAGAGCAAAGTGATGCCCCTGCTGTAACTATCACTCCAGGGTTCGACACTACCCGAGGGACGACGCGCGACCGTGCGCGGAGAACGAAACTAGCACATTCGAGGAATGGTATAGGTCATAACGGAATCGGAAATGGCGGGTCAGGGAATATTAATATTATTTCACCTGGAGGAGGAGGGATACGAGGACAAGGACTAACAGTGGCGAACGTATCGCGACATAATAGTATAGTAGCTCATACGTCGCAGATTAACCCGCTCGTGAGGACGTTTACTTCGCCAATTGGTGCGTTGCAACTTTCGTTTTTTGTGTTCTTTAGGGAATTGTGTTTTGATGATCTGTGTGTTCTGTAGATTTCCTCGACCGGGCTCATGAAACGAATGGGAACGGGCCTATTGACTGGTCTCAGATCGGACGTGCCGTCTGAACTGAAAAACCCATCCTTTCGTCACATATTTCACTCATGTTTTCCCATCCAATGATCTCAACTCTTGCGTTTTCTTGGTTTAGTTTGTCACAAAATCACATTCGTCGTGCTTCTCAACACCTCGACGCACTCCAACATCAGGAATTTTCCAACTTGCATATATGATTATTCACGATAACTTATATCGTCTACTATTTGATTATTACCTTCACTTCTTTCAAACTCATTTTCTGGATGTGCTTTGTTGATTTCCACAGCTTTGCTCTCTCCTTCATTTTTCGGTTTACATACGTTGAAATTGTACAATGCACTCATTTATTTGTTTAGTTTAGTTTACTGTACTCTTCGTGTATATGTATTATCAATGGTACTTTACACTCGTTAAGAAAGGAACTTACCCAAATCATTTTGTTCAAATTTAATATTTGATTAGATGGAATAATACTATAAGGATCCATGTTGCCCAGACTTGCACGTGACGTCAGCAATTGGGATGTGATTATGAGCTGGTGAAGTTGATGCATAGATTACAAGCCTGATTCTTATAGTACAACAATCATGAATTAAACCAGGAAGATGAATGATGTACAGTAACCCTCTTGTATGTTGTCTGCACAATAGTACTGTGCTACTCATCATCAGAATTATATTCATGTGTAACAATGTAAGGATTTAATTTACTGGTTTGTATTTTATTATCACTATATTACTGATTGAGTCAGATTATTGTGTAGTAGGACCCACAAGTACATATATTCTCATTGTAGTTAGTTACACTTCCTCCTCATGTATCTACATGTGTACTACCTTATAAAAGACAGTATTGATTGTTAGGTAAAGGGGATTCTTTTCCTCTAACCCCTTACTTAAGTACTAGGTTATCCTAGTCAGTAGTTGAGTAAACTAAGGGTGATTAGAATTCTCTTGTGAGGAACAGTGAGTTTCCTTACATATTTTTAACTGTACCCACCTAGCATTAAAACCTCTTGCTAGACACTAAGGAACTGAAGGGTCTGATCAACCCTAAGTCTCTCTCATCATCTAGTACCCCTCAGGAGTTATTAGTGAGTAAAGTTATGATTTTTGAGTAGAAACAGAGACTACTTACTGGATTGGCCCTTAGTAGGTTCACAATACTCTAGAACACTGTGGAATGCTTCTGGAACACATTAGTACATATTAATATAGACTAGTACTAAATATGCTAGAGGTTTGTATTAATCAGATGGGTCAAGGACTAAGCATCTGTGAAGGTAAAAAGGAACAAACAGGTGTGTATTGAGTTTACAGACAATAGACAACAAGATTATCCATTAGATATTAATTACAATGTGGCTACCAAGTCTTAACAGACAATTCCTAGAGGGTACCCAAGTCTGGATATTAATACTAACATGCTAGAATGTAAGTCCTCATCCCCTGAGGGCTGGAGGCATTTTGAAGAACTTATACTATGTAATAAGTCCTTGTCTACACAAGGCTGGAGGCACCCTAATGAACTACTACATACTAGTAATGTAGAACTAAGGTATATAATTGTACTAGTGTATATAGTTAGACAGACATGTACTGTAGAGTAGAAACTAGTAAGTACTCACACTACTAGGCTTGTAGGAGTAGTAAACAAAGGTACAAAGAGTAAGGACACTCAGGTGATTGTTCTTAAGGATTTAGACAGTTGAGTTCAGGACAAACAGGTAATTGGTTTCAAGGATTCAGCCAGTCAATTAACAAAAGCAAATATACAGGAAGATAGTATAGATTCTATTATACATATAGTTAGTATCAGTGAGAGTGTGGATAAGTATCCAGTGAGCACACTTACTTTAGAACAGAAATACATTGACAACAGTAATATAGAGGGCAATCAGACACTTAAGACCCTTTTAGACAGTAAAGAAAGTAGCCAGGACTCAGAACACAAGAGTAACAAAGGCTAGGAGAGTTAGGCATTAAAACTATAGAGATTTGATAAGGAACAAGACTTCTAGAAAGCAAGTAAGACCTTCAGACACATTACAAGAGTCAGAGCAATTGAGATAGACATAAGACATGTCAGCCTATTCTACAGTTTGATAAACATTAAGGATTTGAATAAGAGAATGTATAAATTTGATAGAATGTATTAGGAAGAGGAGAAAGCAACTCCTTCATTAAACAAGAGCAGACTTAATAGTATAGTAACAGAAAAGTATAAAATGCTTCAGGCAGGCTACAGAACAAAAGCCAGACATACTATAGTACTTATAAACAATAGAGATCACAACTATTGATCTAAGAGTTTAGAAGAAACACTCAAGAGTCTAGACAAACAATTACATTTGTAGAAAGTGAAAGGAAAGTACAAAGTAAGAGGAATATGTAAAGTACAAGGAACAGAACAAAAACTGGAACTGTCAGACATTCAATATGATTGTAAAATCAATTTAGACTATTCAAGCAAAACAGACATTGTATTAACAGAACAGTACTTTGAGGATAGTAAAAGTGAGTATAAATTGGAACTACAAGGATCAGTACTTGATCTAGAGAGTGAAAATCAAGTATATACTTACAAAATCAAGTGTTTAACCTCTTACATGGCAGATATTGACTACACATTATATAGGAGTAATGTACAGGAGTACTATAATGGATACAACACTCTAGCCAGGTCTAGGAATAAGAGAGAAAGTAAAATACCTGGATATATACAGTCTTAAATAGAAATACCAAGTTTTTCAGAGTATTAGAGTATACATTACATTAAATCAGTAAACAAACAATCCTATAATAATACTTTACAATTGAAAGCAGTCCCAGGCAAGGTATACACTAGTAGTATTAGTGAGAACAATATTGATTCAGAGTACATCAAACTATACAGTTCAAAGCCACATATTGAGTATAGTAAGTATAAGAATAACTCAAACTGTAGTTCAAGAACAAACAATGGACACAAGCATAGTAAAGCATCAAATAATGTTCATAAAGGTAGATTTGTATCAGTGAGACCTTCAGAGAGCCTAGTAAAGAATAACTATGTATACAGAGCAATTCAGAGCTCTAAGAGACAGAAAAAGGGAAATTTTGACTCAGGATCAGACCCAGACAGTAATAATTCAGATTCCTCTTCATCCAATAACAATAATCAAAGTAATGCTTTATTCAAACTATCAGACATTGATTTGAGTGATACTAAAGCTACTAAGAAGTGTAAGAAATACTTAAGGAAGAAACAGAACAAAGAACTCCTTAAACTAAAAATACAAATGTATAGTACAGAACTAATAGCTCCTACAGTATACTCAGGTGAACCAGACTTGCAAAAGTATACAAAGTTTGTTATTAAAGTCAATCAGTACATGAAACAATCAGGACTTCATCATTTCCCTAAGAGCCAAGTAGGGATAATGTTAGGTTTTATTAAGGGAAAAGCTATAAATTTCTATTTGCAAAAAATAGTAAACTATGAGTATAGATGGACACTTGCTCAATTCTTTAGACAACTTATAGACTTTTGTTTCCCTTCTAACTTTACTGAAATACTGTAAAAAGAGTTCAATACTTTGAAACAAGGTAATAGGAATGTTCAGGATTATTTGTATAACCTAGAGATGAAAGTAATGAATCTAAGAGACATTTCTCAGTAAGAATTGACTAGACAAGTATGGTATGGATTGAATTCTAACTACTAGAGGCAATTATAATTAGATTACTTGAATCCAGACACTGTAGATTACTCAATCTTTAAGGATAAGCTTGAAAGTATTAAGAAAGTGAATGAATCTATAGGAATCAAATGGTACAAAGATTCTAGACAATATTTCAATTTGTAAGGACACAATAATGATTCTCAGAACAATTATTTACATACAAACAGTTCTAATAATTTAGGAAACAATCAAGGCACTCTATAGGATAGTGTCAATCTCAAGTACTAGTTGAGGTAGAAGAGGTCAGTTGAGTTTACAAGGTACAGACACTAAGAGCAGTCAAGAGTAAGAAAGAATAGGTAGATCCAAGCAGAATGTATGAGTTCTGAAGGTGACAATTAACAAGACAAGAGTAGTGTGGAATAGCAAAGCTACACTTCAGAACAAGGCAATATGAGACAAGACAAGGCAAGAGGGAACATTTACTAATAAGACTATTAAACTACACACTAAGAGTCATAGTAGAGAGTAACTTGATTGCTGTAAAGTACAAATTACATGAGAGTATTTATAGAAAATATGAGTCCTTTGTAGCTACTAGTCCTTTGTGAACAAATCCACCACTGTCTCCTTTGTATCAACCCATCTGGGACTCTGGATCTGAGTCCCCTTTGTATTAATCAACCAACTGTCTAAAGGCTTAGAGTCTTGCCTTTGTGAATTGGAACTGTAGTCTAGAACCTAACTAGTCTGAATTGAGTGACCAAGACTATTGTGTGGGCAATGATGACGTAATCAAAGGATTGCTGACATGAGGATGATGTGACTTTGATGTGACTGAGCCCTTCCAATCAGAACATATTAGAACATATGTGTTGTGTGAGTGTAACAATAGTCAAAGTGATGATTCTGATCACAGTGACTCTAGTCAGGATACTACACATACAAGCAGTGCAAATGCTAAAGGAAAGGTTAGGCAATTGTATTATCCATTAAGGAACAATGACTAGTATGAAAGTAAGACAGAAAACAATCACAGAACATATGCTACAGGTTTCAAGCATTATTCCCAATTGAAATTGGACAAAATGAGAGTGAAAGGACTATGTTTCATTTACAAACAAGAAGACTACTTAGTCAGGAATTGTCCTACTCACAATACAATCATATTAAATAATACACAGGATGATAGCTTATTATCTAGTAATGTTAGTATCAATTACTCTGTAATAGATGAGTTAGCAGACAACTTGAACAGTGAGAACTACATAGAATTGGCATTAAATAATAGCTATAATATGGATTATAAGATATCTAGCAGTTTTCTACATGTTTTATTGATTTGGATACTTTGTAAAAGTACTACTAAGGATTTAGTAATAGAACTAGAGTGTTCCACAACAGAATACAAGTTCAGGCAAGCAAACTATACATTTGAAAGGGTGAATTCATTATATTTGAGACCTTATAGTATTATAGGGCTAAGGAATAGTATAGTAAACATTCAGAACTGTATAAAATAGTACTAGATACATACATTAAGGCACAGACAGTTGTATAGTATATACAATAACATTTCACACTTGAGAGCAAAGGTATACAGTATAGAAACAATTTTGTATCTCTATAAATATGTATAGTACATAGAAAGGACTAGGAAACATGTATACAACTATTGTTTCAAGGAATCTAAGATGCTACAAGTGTAAGGCAACACATATATAGACACTTCAGAGACACTAC